AGAGAGAGAGAGATTTGAGCAGTGGTTTATATTTAAACACTGCAGTTGATTTGAGGGATCTCAAGAATTGGGATTTTCTCTATTGTTTGTAATTTCTTGTGATTAATAAGAAATTATTTGTGCCGCTCCCGTGGACGTAGGCAAATTGCCGAACCACGTAAAATATCTGTGTTTGTGATTTGCTTGTCATATTTGTTGGATTGTACCCGAGTTGGGTTTGTTAATTTTCACCCGTGCTCACGGACTCGTTCGGTGTGCGAGCACGCTTCCGCAAAGGCGCGCAACAAAACTATAATCATTGATCTTCATCATAACTTCGGAGTTATGGTCTAATGGTTGGAGGAACCAAATTTAATAGAAAATGCATGTTGAGACAACCATTATCACAAATAACAACTTACAAACAGCGCTTCACTTCACATACTCAAAAGGAACATAATTCCAGTATAGTGTTTGTTATGCCCCGGACACACATCACCCAAAATAATGTTTCAGTTGCTCAAATATGAACACTTCCATTCACAAATAGAACCACATGCACACATTAAGTTACCTCGTCAATGCTGTGTTCTTCCTTCATTTTCCCCAATTCAACATTGTGTTCCTAATAATATGATGGGTTCTCTGCAGAATCAGCAAGTGATTATTCATCACAATCATAGCCAGTATATCTCAAAACTATATCTACAAGTTATAACAACAAACATATAAACCTCAAACAATGACCAAGTCAATCACTAGCTATGACAACAAACAGATAAACCTCAAATCACAAAAAGTAAAAACACATGCAAATAAAAAAAATGACCTTCAAAATCCGATCCCATCAAAGTGCAAAGTCTGCAATCAAAGTCTCTTTGGGAAGGAGCTGCCAATTTTTTTATTTTGTTTTTGCCCCTGATAATTCTAATTTTATATCAATAATATTGTATGTCTTTTTTAGTCATTTAACAAATTTAAGCTAGTTTTACAGCTACTTTTGCCAAACAGCTCTAATCAATCAACTAGCTACACAGCTATCGGCTTTCAGCTATAATTTCACAGCTTTCAGCTAGCTTAACAGCTTTCAGCTATAATCTCGCAGCTTTCAGCTAGTTTTGCCAAACAGAGCCAAAGTCTTTTTAGCTAGAAGGTAACACTCTTACTCTTTCAAACCTTTTAATAATTCCAAATTCCAAATTCAAGAGCAAGTTTGTCAGATTAACTATTTTACAAACTAAAATTAAACTTTAATCATTTTGGATATATAAAATTATCAGTATTAATTATCTTTTTTTACTTATAAAGAGCATAGTTTTAAATAATTATGCTAAAACCAACAGATTTGATTATTTTGTCTTCATATATTTTTTAAATTTGGATTGAACCGCTGAATTTTTATTGGCTCGAACCGTGCATTCGGTTCATACCAAATAGTTTTTAAATTTGGATTGAACCGCTGAATTTTTATTGGCTCGAACCGTGCATTCGGTTCATACCAAATAGTGCTCCCTAATTTCGATTCCATTTTCTAGAACTTATAGGTGAGGAATAAACTTAGACTAGAAAACAATTATTATTATTATTATATGTCGAAGGATAATAATTTTAAAATATCTATGATTTGAATGGAGAGAAAATAAAGAAATTAAGAAAAAGAACTGGTATGACGTCAAACAAGGTCCAACCGTCCAAGGCCAGTTATCCTTGGTTAAACCACCGCTTGAGTTTGGGGCCTACACTACAAACAATGATGTGGAGAAATGGGAATTTCAATCCCAATTAAAAATCGTTATTTCCCTATATAACTGCGATTATTATTATTACTAGTTTTTACACACGTGCAATGCATGTGATTTAATACCATGAGTATTTTTGGCAGTTTGTGCTCATTTTTTTCCTTTAAACTCTTACATCCCGATTATTTTTTTATGTTTGTTTAAATAGGATACACCCAATTTAAATTTTCATTTTTATGTTTGTTTAAATAGGATACACCCAATTTAAATTTTCATGTTGATATTTGAATTGACAAAAAACAAATATAATTTAAAAATAATTTGAATTTTCATATTATTTTTGACCGATATGAAACTAAGCTTTATTTGAGAAAGTATAGCATTGAAAAGTAAAAAATATTAAAATAGTGTTATATAAGGAAGGTGAATAATTACAAAAGACACCCTCAAAAATTTTTGTGGTTTTGAACTTTGAGAGTGTGATTTATAATTTTTAAAATTTTGAAAGAGTTTTTTAAAAAATTTACTTTTAAGTTTGATAGTTATAAATTCTATGTTTCATGTGTTGGTGGTAATTTTTTAAATGTTAGTATATTTCTTGCAACTCTAAAATTTTGAGGGTGTCTTTTGTAATTATTAAAACTATAGATTAATTTTGAAAAATATTAAATTTTAGCGGTCTATCAATCGACGAATTTGATGTGTGCTAGTTAAAAATTTTGAAAATTTAGAGTTTTTTTTTACGATTTTTAAAATTTGAGGAGTTTTTTAAAAATTTCGAGGTTAATTTTGGCAAATTTTAATTTTTTAGGTGTCTAAGGGTAATATCTTGAATTTTGAGACATTGAGGTGTTAACTGTAAATTTTAAATTCTTTGCAAACTGATGTTAATTTTTTAATTTCATGTTTTTTATTTTAAGTTTTGAGACATTGGGATGATTTTTATAATTTTGAACTTTTCAGGGTCTTTTCTGCAATTTTAAATTTTTTTATGGTTTTTTTGCAATACTTCATGTATTATAATATGTTATCTACTTGTAATTTCTTTATCTTAACAAACTAATATCATTTTTATGTTTTATATATTTTATTAATATTTTAGTTTTTTTAAATTGTTAAGCTAAACATGGTTCACATAGGATTAGGATAAGATATGATTATGATTAGGATAGATTAAGATATAAATAAAATATTCAAAATAGTGAAGGGTAATATTGAATATTGAAAATTAGAATTTGATTATAGATAAGGTAGTTCAAACTATAAAATGGTATATTTGTCTAAAAAAGATTTTCCGAATTCGTGCTTTTAAAGGGAGTATGATTATTATTATTATTATTATTATTATTATTATTTTGAAGAAATCAATTTGTTTTTTTAACTTCTTTCCTCAGCGGTTTACAAGGGTTTCTTATTGCTTTGCATTTTTTCCCCTCGTCTATTGATACTCATTTACTGCGAAATTTCAAGTAAGTGGCTGCTTTCTTCTCTTCCATTTTACCTTTTTTTTAAAAAAAAAAATTCCGAAAACAAAGTTGTGGGTTTTGATGCAGGAGGAGGAAGAAGCAGGTTGGATGCTTTATGCCTGGCTGCTGAATCCTCTACAAAGGGTAATCTCGCTTCTTCTTCTTCTTCTTGTTCATTTCGATTTTTTCGGGGGAAGAATTAATGGGTCAGTTGTTTCTCATTTGGGTGTACTGGATTCTTGTTAGATTTCTTTGAGTCGTGCAATTATAATTTTGGGAAAACCCATAAAATTTATGGTTTTATTTTAGAAAGAAACACTTAATTTCAAAATGGGGTTGTCTTGCCGTATGATTTGTTTTGTTTTTTTATTGAAGTTTGTGCTAATAAAACTTTGGTTGAATGTTAAAATGTCCTTGGCACAAAAGGTTGCAGCTGTTAATGTGGCAATTTGGGGTTCTTTAGTTCTGTTCTTGGTTCAAGGCTTCAAGTTTCATGCCACACATGTCATAGTGAAACCAAATCCCTTTACATTGAAATCCAGATTGAAGTTTCCACTTCTTCCACAAGACTTCACAATAGATAGCTGACTACTTCTTTCCATCTGAATCTTGAACTTTCCCCCCTGGCTGGAGTGGACAATGTTTTCGTGGAAAGAAGCCTTGAAGCAGAAATGCCATTGATGCTGTGCTCTTAAATAAAACTTTTCCGGTGCGGTATGAACTTACATAAGCAATCTGAAGTTCAATCTTTCTGTTTGTAGAATGCACATTGGGCTTTGCGCATGTGAGTGAGAAACATTGTCTACTCATGTGAGTGAGAAACATCGTGTAGGCTATTTTTTTCAGCCAAAAGTGTTCATGGCATTAAATTTTTTGAGGGTGGATTATAAAGGTGTCACTTTATTTGCTTAGTTTTCCATTTAATAACTTACCCAAACAAAAATTCTGATATCGATGGACTAATTTTCCAGTGTTTCATCTTTGTCAGCCGCTTGGCTTTGTCCTCCCACCTTGGTCACATGATTGTTGAGCTGTCCTGTGGGCTCTACTAGCTTATTAGCTTTGAGTAAATCTCTGCTTTGCAGCTCAAACAAGCTGTCCTGATCTTGGGATTACCCCCGGTTGGAACTTGAGTATTTGGCATTATCCTCATTGCATTAGGGTTAGGTTTCCTGAACAACTTCATAAAGAGTCAAGGCAGAACTGTTCATATTTTTCCCTCTCCTTTTCCGTTTGGGGTTTTATGGAGAAGAATAAATGGCTCAGTTATTGTTCGTTTGGGTATATTAGATTCTTGTTCTTGGTAATGATTGAAGAGTGAGCAAAACCCTTTAAACATCTTTGGATCAAGTGATAACTTTGGAGAAAATCAAGAAGAAAACCTTATCTTACCTGACAAAGAAAAAGACCTGATTCAGACCAAAATCCTAAATGTATCTCAAAAGAGATTCTAACCCAATTTTGTTTTAATTTAAATCATTCCTGTACCTACAGATAGACATTGAAATTATCTAAAAATTTTCAAATTACAGTGGTCAATTGTTTAAACAATCTGGATAACTAACTCTATCTGTCAATCGCATCAATGACTTCCAAATACACTCGCTTCATGAGTCTATATTTAGAATCCAATTGGATGGTGAACATCTGGAATGATCCTTCAAATGTATTGTGAATCATGAGTCTATATTTAGAATCCAATTGGATGGTGAACATCTGGAATGATCCTTCAAATGTATTGTGAAGCTTTAAGTAAAGCTATGCAGGACAATCATTCCATTAAATGAGATAGCAATTGATCTGGCAAGAAATGAAAGACAGTTAATTTGGATTCACAAGCTTGACGAGAGGCAAATGGTCTGAATATAAGAGATTGCACCGTAGTTGTTGCTGACTTGACAAAAGTGGCCTTCTAGTGGAATCTGATATCTTATATTCAGATAAACCTATCATCATTGACCCCCCAATAAACTTTCACTTAACTCTTGCAAAACTTGAATACTATTTGGGAATGGAACTCAATTATCATACCTAACATTTAGTTATTTCCTTCCACTAACAAGTGTATCCATCTATTTGTTTCTCCAACCAAATTCTGCAGATTCCGTGATGTGATGAAGCCTCAGAGAAATTTCTTAAGAGGAGCTTTGACTCTGATTTATCTAGGAAGGCAGGTTGAAATCAAAAGTGAAAAAACTTTGCTTGAATTTATATTCTACTCATTCTTCCTATGCTTACATAAACTTCAGAGTGTCACCATCATATCAATGAAGCTTGTCGGATATTAATTATAATGCTGCTTTTTTCCTGCACAAGGTATTTAATTTCCATTTCCAATCCTATCCATGGAGGTTGCAGATTATCATGAGATAAGTCTTAATGGTACGCTTTGAACATCTGGCTTAACTGAACAAGGATGGCAATATTGGGGAACATTCGCGAAAAGGGCATTCTATTGCATAGTTATTCTTTCTAAATTTAGCAAATTCATGTTTTCATACTAGTTTAAACAATGAGAAAATAGCTTGATGCTTACTGTATCTATGAAATATATGATCAACATGGTCCAGAATAAGTCTAGTTTTCTCGTTTTAACTTGCCTTATTCAAATTTAATTTGGGAATCTTATTTGAGACTTAACTACTTATTACAGTACGCAGACTTTGAAGAACTTGTTCTGGTTTAGTCTGATCCAGATTTTTCTGTGTATCAGGACAATATGAGGGAGATTCAGCTGGGCGCACACACAGTTCAGTCTCATGGTGTTAAAGTAGCAAAGTCTCACAAACATGATTGGGTTATTCTCATCTTCCTTGGAGTAATGGTGATAATCTTAAATCTAATCCATCCTTTTCACCGCTTTGTCAGTAAGGATATGATGACTGATCTGAGATATCCTCTCAAAAGTAATAGTGTCCCTGTGTGGGCTGTTCCGGTATGTTTTCAGCTGTTCTTTTGGTCATCATCAGTTAAGAACTGTGGTGTTTTCAGGGTTAATTTTTTTGATGCTATCAGATGATTACAGTATTATTGCCTATTGCCATATTTGTTGGCTTCTATTTTCGTAGGAGAGATGTTTATGATCTTCATCATGCTATACTAGGTATTCCTAGTGTCTTATCTCCTTTTCTTTTTATATGTTATTTTCTCACTGTTGTTGACATGTTGACATAAAAATGCCTGGAAACTAGGTATCTTGTTCTCTGTGCTTATAACTGGAGTCTTAACTGATGCAATCAAAGATGCAGTTGGACGTCCTCGGCCTGACTTTTTCTGGCGATGTTTTCCTGAGGGGAAAGAGGTTTGTGCATCATGATCTCTCTCTCTCTCTCTCTCTCTCTCTCTACACGTGTCACTGTAGGTCCATTCATCTTTCCTTTATTTTTAACATGACAATGAGGAATATTTTGCTGTATGTCTGTCCAGGTGTATGATAAAGTAACTGGAAATGCTATCTGTAATGGAGCTAAAAATGTCATAAAGGAAGGTTACAAGAGTTTTCCTAGTGGTCATACTTCATGTAAGCAATATAATATCTTTTGTATTTTGACTCATTATTCATAAGGAATGCAATGTGATTATTTATATTTGGTAACTTTTAATGTAGTGGGAGATGGGAATAACTCAATTAGCATGATTTTGGTGTTCTAAATGATTTATAAGAAAATGACCTCAAATATGGTGAGGGTTTCATGTTCAGCCTTCTATACCTTTAGAAGTCAATTTATTGGTGGTAATGATATATAAAGAGTAGCCTAGCAAATTATTTTTAGACAAATTAAATTGGAGGCATGTGTACCCTTCACTTTAATCCAGTTAGTGGTCTTATCATCAAATTGAAATTCCGTTAGGCATTTTGAGTTTTTACTACTGAGTCCTTAGTGTTTGCCCTTCACAAATTGGTTCTGAGAGTTCCACCGTTGACAAGGCGAGTTTCCTGAAAAATATACTTAAAATATTAGGATCTATATGATACAGCACTTCACTAATACCATTGTATTTCTCTTGTTCTATAAAATTTTATATGAAATTAAAGTTTAATAGAATTTGATTTTTTTCTCGTGCAGGGTCCTTTGCAGGCCTTGGCTTTCTTGCATTGTATTTGTCTGGGAAAATCAGAGTGTTTGACCGTCGGGGTCATGTGGCAAAGCTTTGCATTGTTTTCCTCCCATTACTTATTGCATGTATGATTGGAATTTCACGAGTGGATGACTATTGGCATCATTGGCAGGATGTCTTTGCTGGTGGTCTTCTAGGTCTGTGTTGTTTGAAATTGATCGTCATCCTATAACGCACAAACTTTGAGAACATGACCTATTAAATTTCTAGTTCTCAGTGCAAATGTAATTTGTTAGGATATAATGTTGCAGGCAGCGTAATGGCTACATTTTGCTATCTACAGTTCTTCCCTGCCCCTTATCATGCTGAAGGTACCATGTCATACATTATTATTCCAAAACTTCCATAGTAATTATATGATAATTTCAGGGTATTATAAAACTTCGCAGCTTTTACTTATTTTTTTAAGTCTAAATAGCTGTCCCATATTACCAGTATATACATGAACTGGCACAGACAGATGTTCCTTCTCTCCCACCCTGTCCAAAGTCCAAACACATGACCACATGCATGCATGAACACATTTTTTATGTATGAGCTAGCACACATAAGTGCGCAATATGATGATCTTCTTCATGATTTTTTATGTGCCAAAGCATGCAGGTGTGATCTTATGCTAAGAACTAAGAAGTTCCACTTTTGGTATTTATTGTTGTGTTGCATTTCTGTTTCTCCCTTGTTAGCTAGAACGGAAGGCACTTGATCGTCCTGCATATCTTGGTGATAATTGCCTTTGTTTCAACTTGCTTTTCCTTTTAATGGAAGGCACTTGATCGTCCTGCATATCTTGGTGATAATTGCCTTTGTTTCAACTTGCTTTTCCTTTTAATTAACAATAAACCTACGTGAGGTTGGCATTGGTGATAATTGCCTTTGTTTCAACTTGCTTTTCCTTTTAATTAACAATAAACCTACGTGAGGTTGGCGTCTGTTCAACCTTTTAAAATGATTGTTTGCTTTTTTTTTCCCTCCTGGACTGAACTGTTTAGAAAGAATGCTGTAGCTACAGTTACATATCTTTTCATTTCATATATGGTACAATCTGTGTCACAGTCACCAATAGGGATTTGTTAGGTTAGAGAGAGAAATAATACTCGCAGTATAGAAGTTCACCATCTAAGTGATCTTGTGATGTTTATTACAGATATCTTAACCAGATAAGCGTGTAACTTACAGGGAATGATTAAGGTGGAACCTTAGTGAACTATCAATAGCAAGAGGGATAAAGATGGAGCTGTTTCTTTCTACCTTTATGATCAAGGAAACTTGACCTTGTGATTCTTGTTCGAAGTTGAAAACTTTACTTTGAAACTGGGTTTACAGTTCTGTCTCATGACTTGTCAACCAAGAAGACAGTTGACACCTCATCCCAAACTTTATAGTATGCAAAAAATTGATCAATCATACTTGTATATAATTAATCATACTTATATTGTAATAATTATATTTAGATATTTATTCTTTTAAGTCTTCTATTAGTTAGATAATATCCAAAAAATTCTAGTCGCGGGTACCGATGTCGTTTTGTAATAATTATACCAATCACTTCTAGTATCATGACTTGATCAAAATTCAAGAAGAAACTGTGATTTTGGTTCTAGTCGCAGGTACCGGCGTCCTTTTGAAAATTACCAAAATTATTAAACAAAACAACTAAGGGTTCATAAAATTGAATCGTTGCACCATATAATATTATATTTCAATGCTTTTCAACTTATCATGAAACTTTATGAAAAAATAAGCTGCTAATAAATTTTAAGGGTGTTTCATATATGTATTTATTTATGTATACATACATATTGATAACATGTATACATGCAAATAATGAGTATCATTGTCAGATGATGAGATTTCTCATACATGAGTAACGCGGTTGAATCTCGCCCAAGAGAGAGTGTGTGTGTTTCTTTTTTGTTTGCGGGTAGGGGGATATGATAACCCATTAATCTTATTTTTTTCTGAGGGGATTTTTCCATATACAATAATGTGGTTTAATCCCAACCAAGTGAATGAAAGGAGAGATAAATCCTTATACACTTAACCACACTATTGTATATGAGAGAATCCGCTCGTATGACCCACACTATTGTATATGAGAGAATCCGCTCGTATGACATATGCTACTCATGAACCTCATGTATATATGGTAATAATGGGTATGACGTGACGAATCCGCTCGTATGACATATGCTACTCATGAACCTCATGTATATATGGTAATAATGGGTATGACGTGACGGCTAATTTTACTGAATGAGTTACCAATAGATAGATCAGTGGTTTAACCCACCTATTAATCACAATGGAGCATATGGACCTCATCACTTATCTCTTGGTGGCTCATGTTAATAAATATCTAGTATAGCAGGTGACATGCATCTGGCTAGCTTTTCAGCTCACTTTGCGAGGTGAGGTCTACCACCTCATTTAGCAAAATGAGTTATACCAAGAGACAGGAGTAGACTAGTCAACATACTCTGGTATGACTCGCAAGATGAGTCTTACTACTAGTCTATCTCTTGGTAGCTCATTTAGCAAATAAGCTTCTACTCCAGCCCATTTTCACACACACAACCCACATGCTCATGCATGCGCATGCCCACCTGCACATATTCAGATTTTAGTATCCAACTTTCTTCCTTTCAAGTGTGTTAAGCTGTCACTTTGTTGACATATATGGTAGGTCAGGTGAGGTGAAATGTTCTTTGTCCTCACATAAGTACACACTTTTAGGTGAGAATTTCAGCCATGTGTTGTAGCATAATTTTCAATGATCAATTTTCTTTAAGAGTGAGGTGCACAAACCCAATATGCAAACCTGATTCTGTTGATTCCTCTGTCTTTGAAGTTATCAATTCTTTTTTAGTATGAACTTAACAGATATTATTCTAATATCTTTTGGATGACATTTTTCAAGCTCGTTGCACATAGCACCTAATATGTTCGTATAGTTTGTGGTTCTTCTTAACTGTTTTCTAATCAAAGAACTGAAAGAATTTTCAGATAAATTGATTGCTCCATTTCGACACAAAATGCTATAACATATACATAGCTCATTAGGATTCATGAAACCACAATTGCTTCGAATTTCTGCGTTAAACCTTTTTTAAGGAATTTGTTAGTGACTTGCTTTCTTGTTGTAGAATTTGTTAGTGACTTCCTTTCTTGTTGTAGGTTGGGGACCTTATGCTTATTTCAGGATGCTGGAGGAGACACGAGGGCTGGCAAACCAGGTTGGGGACCTTATGCTTATTTCAGGATGCTGGAGGAGACACGAGGGCTGGCAAACCCAACACTTCCAGTGAACCAGCAAGCTGAAGAAAGTCAGGATGCTGGAGGAGACACGAGGGCTGGCAAACCCAACACTTCCAGTGAACCAGCAAGCTGAAGAAAGTCACTATCAGATTGCCTGAGACACACCATGCACGCACCATACTCGTTGAATTGGAATCCGGAAGTGTGTAAATTAAAATGTGACTCAAAGATAAAATTTGGCCTGAATTTTTTTTTAATTTACTGGTTCTAATTCATTACACCATGTTCATGGTTTGATCACATTCCACGAGATTTATTGGGGTCAAGGACAATGGTTCAGCATGTAGCTCAAACAACATCTTAGGATAGTTACTTTTTGAAATTTTGTACGAAAAGTTTGTGGGTTTGACTATGCTTACTGAATTTTTTCTGCAGGTGTAATTGTTTATGTGATGTAGGACGCTTAACAGAAAATTTAATGGATGATTCGGACATTCACGAGCTAAATACAGATTTATACTTCCGTAAAGAAACAATCATATCTTTTAATCCGGAAGGCGGATTCTGACATATTATATATATAAATCGTCTATCTCGACGAGATGGAGCCAACCAGATTGTCAGATTTTTACAATCTCATTAGTTATACTCAGATTTAGCTAAAATCTGAAATTAAAGCTTTAGTTTATTTTTAGTAATAAAGTTGGAGTCTTTTAGATTAGGAAATAAATTTAATTTTATAGTCAAATTAGATTAGGAAACAAAATCAATTTTGATTCATGATTTGTTTCCTCTATTATAGGGTGTCTTTTTTAGGATAGAACTTGATACTTTCTATTTTTGTAATTCTAGTTTTAGTAGGAGTCTTATTTGTTTTATCTATTTAAGAAGAGTTATGTAACCCTAAAGAAGAATATTCATCAATAAAATTTCTCTTTTTTAATATTTTCTTCGTGGATTCGAAGCTCGTTCTTTGTGGATTCAGAGAACACCATTGGTGAACACTCTTCGTGGATTCGAAGTTTTTTAATATTTTCCTCTATTATACGACAGCTTACCTTATTAATCATGGCCCATCAGTTCCATTAGATTTTAGAATTCCAGAGGATGTTTGGAGTGGCAAGAAGGTCAATCTCTCACACCTGCGAGTATTTGGTTGTGTGGTTTATGTTCATATCAGTGATCACGTTGGGGACAAGCTAGAGGCTAAGTCACAAAAGTGCACATTCATTGGATACGACGTTGATGAGTTCGGGTATCGTCTGTGGGATAAGAAGAACAGGAAGATCATCAGAAACAGGGACGTGATATTCAATGAGGAGGTGATGTACAATAACAGGAAAAATGCTAATGATAGCCAAAACAGTGGGAGTAGCACTTCAGATGTAGGTGGATCCAAGTACATGGATATAAAAGAACTTCCAGATAGGGGTGATGATATTTGTTTTGACCGCGGAACGGAGGAGGCTTCAGGTGCAGAAGAAACAACCTAGTGCATGGAGCTTAGGAGGTCATCCAGGGTACCCAAACCAAATCTCATATATCTTTCATCTCTTGACTACTTATTGTTGACAGATAGCGGTGAGTCGGAGTGCTATGAAGGGCAATGCAAGTGAGTGAATCTCAGCAGTGGGAGCATGCGATGCAAGAGGAGATGAATTCTCTACTCACTAATGAGACATGAGAGTTAGCCCAGCTACCTGCACAGAAGAAGATCTTACATAACAAATAGGTCTACTGGGTCAAGCAAGAGAGTGATGGAAGCAAGAGATTCAATGTCAGATTAGTAGTGAAGGGGTTTCAACAGCGGAAAGGAGTGGACTACACAGAGATACTTTCCCCTGTTATGAAGCTCACAACCATCAGAGTGGTGTTGAGTTTGGTAGCTGCAGAAGATCTCTTTCTTGAATAGTTAGATATGAAGACTGCTTTTCTTCATGATGACTTGGATGAAGAAATCTACATGAAGCAGCTTGTTAGCTTCATTGAAGAAGGAAAGAAAGAGATGGTGTGCAAGCTCAAGAAAAGCTTATATGGCTTGAAACAGGCTCCGAGACAGTGATATAAGAAGTTTGATAACTTCATGCAAAAAAATGACTACAAAAGTTATAATTAGGATCATTGCTGTTATTTCAAAAGGTTCGAGTCCAGCTTCATTATCTTGTTATTATATGTTGATGACATGTATTTCAAAAGGTTCGAGTCCAGCTTCATTATCTTGTTATTATATGTTGATGACATGTTGGTAGCAGGATCGTGTTTAGAAGATATAAATTTGTTATTATATGTTGATGACATGTTGGTAGCAGGATCGTGTTTAGAAGATATAAACAGTTTGAAGAAGCAGCTAGCAAAGGAATTTACAATGAAGGATCTGGGTGTAGCAAAGCAGATTCTAAGGATGCGAATCAGTAGGGATGAAGCTGAATGGACGTTGAGATTGAGCCAAGCTGAATACATTGAGAAGGTAATTCAGATGTTCAATATGCAGGATGCTAAAGCTGTTAGCACGCCCCTTGGAAGTCAGTTCAAGTTATCTGAGGAAAAATCGCCTAAGACAGATGCAGATAGAGAGCATATGAGCAGGGTGCCATATTCTTCAGTCATTGGGATTCTCATGTACGCGATGGTTTGCACAAGGCCAGACATCGCCCATGCAGTGGGAGTTGTGAGCAGGTTTGCAAGCAATCCAGGGAAGCAGTATTGGGAGGCCGTGAAGTGGATAATGCGGTACTTGAAATGAACAACGAACAAGCCACTATGTTTTAGGAGGAAGGAGTTGGTGCTGCAGGGATACGTGGATACGGACTTCGTCGGTGATCATAATACGAGGCGAAGCACCACGAGATATGTTTATACCTTAATGTCGACAGCAGTGAGCTGTGTCTCACGTTTGTAAAAGATTGTGACTTTGTCTATAACTGAGGCTGATTATGTCGCGGTGACTGAAACAAGCAAGGAGATGATCTGGTTGAACGGGTGTTTGGAAGAGTTGGATCTGAAGCAAGGGAGAGGAGTTCTTTATTGTGATAGTCAGAGAGCTATATATTTTGCCAAGAATCCAATATATTATGCCAGAACAAAGCATATCGACGTAAAATACCATTTTATACACTCGCTAGTTGAAGACGGAAAGTTACATTTGATAATGATTTTGGGGAGCCAAAATCCGACGGACATGTTGACGAAGGCAGTCATCCTTTAGAAACTGGAGTTGTGCGTGTTAGACCCTAGAGGGGGGGTGATTAGGGTCTTATGCTAATCTAATCCGATTAAATGCCAATTAAAATTAATTAATGAGTTATCCTAGCAAGTATGAAATATGACACGATATATGAGCTAGGATAAGCAATATGAACAATGAGATATATCCTAGCAAAGAGATATATGATGAAGTATATGCAAGGATATATAAACTCAAGGGAAAACAATCTAAACTAGATAGTGGGCAATATAATCAACAAGCAATATACAAAGGCGATATAAGATATGAACATAAAAGGAAGTGCGCCAATGCAATCATAAACAAACAATATGATTACGGAGTTCGGTCCCCACGACCTACGTCTCCGCTCCTCACCTCGAGGAGATCTCCACTATCACAACCGGGTTTTCTACGTTCACCCGAACAACGTTTACACCTCACAATACAATCACTATGCAATCACACCTCACACACTAAGTGTTGGTCCTAGCCCGTGTCCTCCTCCTCAAGTGCTCGGTTACAACCTCTCCCTAGGCACGTCAACCGACGCCACTCCTCTTGGATTCGACCCCGTCTCTCACCACACACTTCTCTCGGTGTACAAGTGTATTACAAGTGAATCCTCACAATTAGGCTCAATACAAAGTATTTGTTCTCTACAATGAATGAGAACAAATTATAAGCTCACTCTCTAAGTTACACAATCCCACAACCCAATTATACTATGAATGTAAATACAATAAGCTCAATAGGTTGTGTGTGAACAAAGAGATAATAAAATCAACTAAACTCAATATGAACACTAGCTTAATAAAAAGATAATCAAACAATATAAAATATGAAGCTAGATTGAGTTTAGAAAACTTCTCAATAGATCTCTTAAACCAGCCACAAACCCCCAAAAACCGAAAATATCAAAAACTAGCCGTTACTAGCCGTTATAGGCTAAAAAGACCAAAATACCCCAAATTCCAGCATTCTGGAAATTTGTGTATCTAACTTTGTAAAATCAATTAAAAATAGTAAATCAACTCCAAAATTTATGAAACTTTGAGGGAAGGTTCTAAACATGTAGAAGAATATTTTAGAGAAATAATTTCTGAAAAATATTTTCTCATTTGAGAGAAATAAATGTTTGAACACAGATATACAGTTTCTGAAAATCTGCTAACATACACGATTTTGTAAAATCAATTGGGCACAGTAAATCAACTCCAAAAATGGAAAAATTTTGAGAAAAGTTTATAAACATGTAGATAAACATTTCAAAAAAATAATTTCTTAAATATCACTTCCCATTTGTGAAAACTCATCTGTTTTGTAAAAACATGCACGAACGAAAAACATGATTTTGAAAATTCAATTAAACGTAACAAATCAATTTCAAACTTGATGAAATGTAAACATGAAAACAAACATGTTAGAAAAAGAATTTCTCAAATTGAAATTTTTATTTGTGAAAACTCATGTATTTTGTAAAACTTATAAATACATGTGTACATAAACAACTTTACCATGTGAAACCAAACATGTATATATATATATGAATATGTATTTGTTTCATATTAAAACTTAAAAGCCAAGAACCAAAACTTGTGTATATATATATAACTATATATATAAAAACAAAATATGTGTGTGTGTGTGTGTGTATATATTGAGCTTAACGTACTTAACACACATAATATAAAACCTAAACTAAGTTACCCAAGCCGATCTTGATCTTCACCGCCAACCTCCTTTGGATATGATCGTTGAAGCTCTATTCCATCCATCCTCCAACACGTTGTTTGTCTATAATAAATAAGAAAACACAAATACTAGACAAACAACATTAGTGGTAAATTGTTTGTTAAACATCATCAAAACAAAAAGGCCAACAGTGCGCAACTTCAGTTGGCCTTCACGAGTAGAAGACGAAGGCGGAGCCACACTACGAGGATCGGCGAGATCGTTGGGATATTGTTGATTGAAAAAATGATTTTCCAAGGAGGAAAAGATACATGCGAAGAAGGGGAGAGTTCGCTGATGGCACTTTGGTCTCCAAGTGGGAGATTGTTAGTCTAAAAGTGTAGACCCAAAGTCGAAGCCAAAGCTGGAATCAAGAAGATAAAGAAAAAATCGAGAAAACAGGAGGAGGCCTACACGGTCGACCGCGGCGGTCGACCGCGAACGTGCACAGAGCTGGGTAGAGCCTGGAGCTGAAGGCGGTCGACCGCGACGGTTGACCGCACAA